CCTTGTGTGGGGCTTCCTAGCACGAGGAGCGCCTCTGCTGCCATTGCTGGGGGGTCCATCTCCCCAGGGCTGGTCAGCCGCGGTGCATGTGGCCTCTGGTTTGAGTACAGCGCTTTGCCTGGCCGGGGGGCCTGGCGGAGCCGGCAAGGGCTTGGAGGAGGGGCAGCGATAGACCCAGAGTGAGGATTTAAATTTTTCCTACTTGTGTGGGGCTTCCTAGCACGAGGAGCGCCTCTGCTGCCATTGCTGGGGGGTCCATCTCCCCAGGGCTGGTCAGCCGCGGTGCATGTGGCCTCTGGTTTGAGTACAGCGCTTTGCCTGGCCGGGGGGCCTGGCGGAGCCGGCAAGGGCTTGGAGGAGGGGCAGCGATAGACCCAGAGTGAGGATTTAAATTTTTCCTAGGTAAGTCTCAAGGCGAATCCCTCAGGAAAGTGACTCCTTGCCCCGGTGTGTGTGTGTGTGTATGTGTGTGTGCGCGCGCGGGGGGTGGGGTGGTGGTGGCAGTAGATACGCTTCCTCCGGTGCCTTAAAAACAAACGCATTCGGAAGTATCACGTTGATGTGTGAGCTAATCCCGACTGCAGCCTATGCATCTCTTACTCCTGTTTATTTCTCTTCCCCAGCGGGGGTGCTGGAGGGATTTCCCAGGTAGCTCTTTAATGCCTGGAGATTCCCCCCTCCCCTTTGGCATCTTAAACTGCGGATCCTCTTCCTCTCTTGCTGTAACACGTTTTTTATGAACATGAGGAGACTGGTTGGTGCTGGAGCAAATGTCTGTTTGTATTATGCACGGAGAAACTTCAGCATGTGCAGCATATTTATTGATGCTGTGTTTTATTCACTAGGAAATGCCTCCTTCCTCTTCTTTCTCAATCACGTGAATGAAGGTTGAATTGAAAAGTATGAATATTGCATTGTTAAAAGATGTGACAGTTTTACAGGAAAATATGTAATTGGTGATTGTTTTTTTTTCTTCCTCCTGTAGGGAGTTTGGATTATAAAGGCTGTCCTGGCCTCAGTTTGTTGTGGAGGGGGAGAGAGGCTGCAGGTCAATGTCTGACCTTTGCTTCAGTTGAAGAGGGAAAATCATAACTGGACATCGACCTGGAATTATGTCTTGTTTAGTCACTTTCTACTCAAAAGGCTTCTGAAACCCTCAGAGGACATCTAAGAAGTAAATTGAAAGATTGTGAAGTCTTGAATTTTTCTACTCAAAAGTAGGAGGCACTTCATCCCTGGACACTTTTGTCCACATGGAATGGATAATTGGTTAAATTTCTTAATCTCATATATAAGACAGTGTATTTTTTCTGTCAAGATTAAAAATTTCCAGGCATCAGTTAAGATACATTTGAGTCATATGCATAGCTAGTTTTGTCAGCTGGTTTTAGATAACATTAAATGTAATCCTTGTTTGCTGTTTAAACACAACTGAAGAGTTTCATGGAAGATATTTTTACTTTTATTTTATTTTTTAAATATTCTGACAGCCTTTTTTTTACTTTGCAATGAAACCTATTTTATAAATGAAGAGACTAATAGACCTTTTTTTCTTTTTCCTTTTATATTTTATTTGAGGGTTTTTTTCTAAAATGTTGCCAACAGTCAATATGGTGGTATCCAGATAGCCATTGTTTGCAGATGCCTCTATAAGCTGAAGCTTAGAAATGTTCTTCAGTTCAGATGTGAAATTTAGCAATTCAGTCTTACTCTTGGTGTCATAAAAGTTATATTTATTTCATCAGGAGCTGATGCTCATTATAGTGAGATGTACATGGAATAGTGAAGAGGCTGCAAAAAGATAGAACAAGCTTCTTAAATCAGAGTTGGCAAACTTTGGAAATAGATTTGTGAAGACTAAACGAAGGATGGGTAGCTGATTTTTTTAAGAGGTGAACTCTGTCAAATAGCTACTGATGTAGAATCTTCGAGTTTCAAGGAAAACAAACTGGAAAATACAAATTACAAAGAACTAACACCTTGTGCTGTCCTCTTGGATTTTGTAAGTATCTTACTGTGCATTAATATTCACTTGAATAAACTATACCATCAATAGAGGCATAAGTAATGTTCACACAAAATAAATGTTATTTTTGAAAGCCTTCCAATGAGCTCCCAGTCCAACTTTTATTTACCATGTTTGGTAACTATCAGAGTCTCTAAATATCATAAGTTTATTGCAGAAAGATTAACTAGAAAAAACCTTGTGATATTAAGAACTTCTGTATGCTGTTGTATTAAATTTTATCTAGTCTTTGTGTTTGTTCAGAATACAATGTAAACATCAAGAAAGAAGTTAATGCCTTTGACTAAGTTGATTGAGTAGCATACAAATGAAAAGAATTAAATTCTTGGTACGCATTATAGCATAGAAACTCTCCATAAGGTTCTTGAAGTGATAGATGCTTAAGAGCTTTATGGTTTGTGTAATGTAGGTACCTTGATTTCCTGCAGCATATTTAGTTTTAAGGGTAGAGATAGTAGTTCTGTTCATGCTCAGCTTTTGATAACATTTGTCTTACGCTGTCTTGACTTAAGTTGTTTTCAGAGTAGTGTAATGTTGTGGGTTTTAACCTTCTATCCTATTTTTGAAAGCTCCCTTAATTTCTGACTTGTTAGATACCAATAAGCTGCTTAATTCACATTTTTGCCTTTTTATTGTTAAATTCCACATCTTTACTGTTAAATTTTGTGCGTGTTCCTCTTTTTCACTGGAAACAGTAACTTTCTTACAAGAAACAATTGGCCTATTAATTGTGTATAGATACTTACTACAATATTTTGAATTAATTTCTCTGCAGGTTTGCTTTCAACAGATCCACTACCGCTTCAAGGAAAAATTAAGATGGACAAAACAACCTAGTTCAAAAGTCAGTGGTAACTTTATTCAGGTTTAATCTTATGTATTATACATACAGGTTATATTTTAAATACTTGCAGCATTATATGTAGTCTGGCACTTAACTGAAGTGACCATATTTAATAATTTTCTCTTAATAGATAACAAATTATGAAGAGCATTACCAATTTTAAGTCTCATGAAAGGTTCTAAAATAGCATCTGGGGGTAGTGCCTTGAAGTGGAAGCCTAGTTTACAAGCAATTTTCAATGAATGTGAAGCTGTCTGTGCCTAGAGGACTATATTGAAATAGCTTTTCTATATGTTGATATTTTGACCAGGAATGAAAGGACTTGCTTTAAATAGGCCTACTTCATAAGGCCTCTGTCCAGGTTCCTGTGTGATCAGAATGACCTGAGTGCTGGAGGAACTTTATATTAAATATAGTAAGGAGTTGTATTGCTGAAGTGTCCTCCAATTTGGCACCCGCTGCATCAAAATCTATTATGTAAACCATCATTAAAAGGTCTTTGATCTAGTCTTCATTCTGAGACAATTTCTTCTCCCAAATCCCCTGGCCAAGTTCTGTCTCCCCCCTCCCCTCCTCCTCCTCAAGTGTTTTTTTTCCTCCTTTGCTTAATCTGTGCAATGAGAAGAAAATAAAGGCCTTATTCTATAATAAGTTCTGCATGGGCGGATCCCTGTGTTTGTGAGGAACTCCATTGAAGTTAGTTTGGCTGTATACTGACTCATGGCACTTTTACAGCACGTTTCATTAAGTGTTTGAGGGCTAATTGATTATACAGGATAAATTGTGAAACAGGCTATATACAAAGTACTGCAAATGTATAAAGTAAACATACTGAAAAATGGAGAAATTCCTTTGCAGCTGAAATTTAAAGAATGATTTATTGTTTCAAGTAGGTTAAAAAACATCATTTACGGCTAAAGTTTTAAGTTGATGGTGTTTCCTTAAATTATCTAAATGGATGAGTACCCATTAGTGAAGTAGCTAAGAGTCTTCCATTTAAAAGTCATAACAATAGGAAAATCTCTAATACTCAGGGCTCGACAAACTATGTAATCTACTTGCCTGTGGCGAGTAGATTACAACCCGGAAGAGCCAGGTTTGGACGATCTGTGCATGTGCAGGGCGATCTGCGCATGCGCAGATCGCCGGACAGCGCTGCTGGTGAGCAGGGCTTGTCACGGTTCGGCGAGCCCTGCTAATACTATTCAGGCTACTGACTTTCAGTGGTTCTACAATTTGTTCATCAGTTTTTCTAACTGATCTCGAGCCCTTTCTCATCAAGGGACATTCATTCTGTGGAGTGATTTCCCTTGGTTCTTTGTTTGGTATATAGCAAGGTGTCCTTCACTCTTGGAAAATTGACTCCATTCTTTACACTTTCTAGTTGCTGGCAGCAGGAGAGTTTTTCTTTTCACTACTGTATCTCTTGATGGAACCTTGCACCTTGACCAAAATCCCTACAGGTAGGTAGGGCCTACTAAGGAAAAGTACCACCATGCTGCTCCACTATAGTGCATCCTCAATATAAACATTTTAAAAAAATTGATAGTGCTTAGCAGGCTGCTGCATTTTGCAGGCATGCATTAATATGAGACCCCTGCTCTGAAGAATTGATGTTGTAAGGCTTGGTTTATACACATTGATTGTACAGGTGTAATTTGTCAGGGCTACAAGGTTTATTATCAATATAGCTATCCTGATGCAGCCCCCAGGGCATGCAGTCATATTGCTTTAAAGGAGTCTTATGCTGGTATAGCTTATTTCCTTTGCAGTAAGCAAATAAGCTATATCAGATGTATAAGGCCTTAAGGAGACATCTAAGATGCAGTGAATGAAATGATATTGGGAGTGGGGTTGAGCTGATTCCTGTTTTACAGTTTGTTTAGATTTTGCATTGCTGTCTATCATTATAATAAGTTTATTCCTGGATAATATGAATGGAACAGATTGGCCATAGGCAAATCCCTCGTGGATTTCTGGAGTTTTCTATTCTTAAATCTTGTATTGTTTACTTTTCAGTAATCTGAGTTAGTATTTTTTGTGGGGGAGGATTATTTGTGATGTGCACATCTATAGTGAACAGTAGTGTTGTAAAATTGTGCAACAATATTATAATGTAATACACCAGTGATTGTTTTTGGCAGTGCTTTGCCATTAGTCTTTCTTACAGTTTGTGATATCTGTCATTAACTATCATAGTGAGATTCCTGAATTGGTATGGTGTTACAGGCCATTCATTTCTCCTTCGTAATACACAGGACAGCTCCACAGTTGGCTGCCTACCCATACAGAGGAGGTTCTATGCAGACGGGCTGCTGCATTCATGGCAGTTCTCTATTGCCTTGAGTATCCAATGTATACTCAACTCCTTAGTCTCTCACTTTATATTGTCACTGTACATAAATATAGGTCCTGTTTAACACAGCCTAGATGAACTTTGAAAACTACATAGTCAACAGCTGAAGCATTTAGTGCAATAATAAGCACTTTGATCCTCCTGCATAGGGAAGTAGATCAGGATTTAATTATCTTCTCTCTGTAAGGTGCTGCAGGTATAAACTGAGACAGAATAAAACAGACCCGTTTTTCTCACTTTCCCTTTTTTGAGTTCTTTTGTGTGTATAAAATGATCCAGTAATATAAGAGGACTAAATAGCACAAAGTGTGTGTGTGGGGGGGGAGGGGCAGAAGGGTCTGTGTGTTTGGATACAACAAGGGAGGAATGAGGAAAGATGCACAGATGGAATTCTATAGGATGCAGGAAAGATGGTGAAACGTGGTGGTAATCTCAACACTAGTGTCCCACAATTTCTAATACTGACAGATTTTTAAACCATTGAATAGGGATGCAGGACTCTTCTGTTGAGTCATCCTGATGTCAGGTTCTTAAGCTTTGTGTAGAATTACAGAAGTATTTTTGCTAATTGATGCTGAAGTTGGTCCCATATATGCTGTTAACTGCCAGTCAGTCAGCTTTAGTTCTTACCAGAGTACCTCCACAAGAAGGCAAATTCTGTGTTTACAGTTAAACATTTCTAAGAAAAAAAGCCTCCCTTTTTTCTGTTGTTTAAACTAAAGTCATTTTAAGTTATGTTTACCCTTTGCCATTATTTAGTTTCAACAAATAAAAACTGCATAGTGCCACTTTGTAAAAATAAAACAATTTACATGTCCAAAATACTGTTCTTGCTACAAATTTTAAATTCATACTTATTTCTATTGATCTTAAAATTTAGTAAAAGCAGTGATTTACCAAAACTAAGATTCTGGTTCAAATCAACCGGATCTCCCTAGTAGTTTATTTTTAAAGATGGCTACACCCTATAGTTATTATACCAGTTCCTATTTCATAATGATACATCTTCCACCAATTTAAAGGTGACTGCAGATGATTAAGTTGGATTAGTGTCTTTTTTTGCTTTCTTTTCATGTTAAAAGGAGGTTGGAGAAAATGAGAGGGGTTTTGCCACATAATAGTATGCATTGGAATTTGATATTCCTCAGTTTTGCTAGAATTCATTAGTTGATTCTCAACTTTTCTTCAATTAAGGAGTGAAATGCTTCAGTAAACACTGGCTACAGATGTGAGCACAACCCCCCCCCCCCTTCAGTTACCCGCTCTACTTGTTCAGAGCAGTCTTTTATCTCAAGTTAAAGCCAGGACCTGAACATGGGTCTCCCACATTCTGAGCCAATGTTGCAATTCTATAGAGTAGGGATATCAACATTTAGTCAACTACATGATTAAACTGATAAGCCTGGGTTTATCATTTAACCCTGTTGACTATACAGATGGCTCCCCCTCCCTCCTTGCTGCCTCAGTATCGGAGGCAGGGGGGGGGGGAGGGAGAGGGGGGGGTGGCACTGGATCTGGCGGAGCTGCCTCCTCCCACCACGCGCTGCTGTGTCTGATAGAGAGGCCACAGAGCAGAGAGTGAGGGGGGCAGGTGGGAGCCAGTACCCACAGGAAGCCGGCTTTGCTGTATTGCAGAGTTGCTTGCGCCCTCATGCTGCTGCCGCCTGTCTATCTGTGGGATGCCACGCAGCCTCTGTCTGCAGAGAGCTTGGGCCCTCCGCAGACAGGAACTGCTGCTGCTTTGTGCTGCTGCCTCTGATACAGAGATAGCAGTGTGGGGTAACGGGGCTCCCCAGGAGTGGGGTTGGGTGTGCACTTGCTGCCAGCCTGGCCCTTGGTGACCAACAAATAATTATGTAGCTGCTAAGTTTTGATATGGTTACACAATTATTCAATTAGTCAATATCTAACATCACTACTATAGCGCAGTGGTTTTCAAACTATGGGTCGTGACCCGATACTGGGTTGTGGAATGTCAGGCAGTGGGCCTCATTGCTGCAGGGGGTTCAGGTGACTAGTGGTAGTGCCAAGGCAGGTCACCTACCTGTCCTGACACCGCAGATTGTGCAGCAGACCCAGCTGCTGGGTGGGTAGGGGAAAGAGAATGCACAGAACTCTGCACACTGGCCCTGTCCTGAACACTTCCTCCACACTCCCATTGGCTGGAAACCTGGTTCTGGGGCTCAGCATGGTCTGCAGTTCCAGGAGAGGCAAGAAACCTGCTTTAGCATCTCTGCTGCACTGCTGACTGGCAACTGCTGAAGGTAAGCCCCTCCTGTCCCAGCTCTGACCTCTCCCACAAAGCAGGAGTCCCCTCCAATACCTCAAAGTTCTCGTACTGAGCCCCCTCCTGGAGTCCACACTCGAGTCTAATTGTTGGGTTATGGACATCAACAATTTTCTCAACTGGATCATGACAAAAAATGTTTGAAAACCACTGCTAAAGAGAGTGAGGAAAGTATCTTTTTCAACCTTATTGTACCTAGTTAAAGCTGAATCATTTCAAGGAAACAGCATATTTTGATAAATTTCAGTGAAAATGTTTCAGCCAGCTCTAGTAACTTTTTTCCATAGTTATGTTTGTTTTCTAAAGTGGGCCTAATTTGAAATAAATCCCTGTTCTCTAATAGTAGGTGATGTTTTGATGTGAAACATTACATTTTTAAAACCTTTGACCCTTTTATGCAGTTTGGTTTACTTCCTAACTTAATAGGAAGCCTTTGAAATAGGATGTAAGCGAGTAGTCAACTATCCAATAAGTCTAAGCTTAATCCTTTCCCACTGTGCCTCTGCAGTTTAAATGTAGTAGGAGTTGGGCTGCCTGCACACCCGGATCCTACTACATTTAAACTGCAGAACCTCAGCAGGGGTAGCCCCATGACAGGTGAGAGTTGGTACTGAATACCTTCCCTTATCAACTAAATCGTGTAGTCGATACAATTTGTATCAACTACACTATTAGTCAGTTACCCGCCTTTTACCATCCATTGTTTGAAATGTGTGTCTGAAATTTTGGAGTGGCTTTCCCATCAAAAAATTATTGCTCATCTTTGTTCTCTAGAAAATGGATTGGGTATAACGTAGATTTTTTTTAAATGGATGTTTTGTTACTTTGGGCAGCTATTTGTAATGAGCAAATATTTATGTACAAACAATGAGTAACTTATGCAAAAATTTCACGGATGCCTATATGGTTGTATAATGGAAGGTTTTAAGTGCAATTGCTGATATAGGCTGAGTCTATAGTGAAATGTTAGGTTGACATGGCTATAGTGCTCAAATGTGAAATTCACACCACTGAGTAGTGTAGCTATGCTGATGTTAACTCCAGGTGTAGACATAGCTAGGTTGAAAAAAGAATGCTTCTGTCAACCTTGCTACCACCAAAATAATATACTAGAAATGGGAATTCTTACAGCTATGTGATAACCCCTTCTGTTGTTGTAGGAATTACTATGGCACTGTAATGCTGGTAATGTAGACATGTCAATAATGAGTAATGTAGAACAGCTGTTGGTGCAGAGTCTTCATTAGGAGTTTTGCTTACATCCACCATTTACCCCATCTTCATAGATTACTAAATCTTCACTTGAATATTAAAAAAAATCCAAGGAATTTTAATTAATATACAAAAGTTTTTGATCCAGATAAGGCTGCCCTGTGCCATATGTTTGACTCAACCAACAAAGGCAACAAAACAAAAAGAGGTTACTGTTCAGCAATTTAACTTTTTGTCTGTCTAGGTAGCCTCTCTACTGAAGTGCTATAGCTGTAGCTGCTGTTGCATTTGAAGTGTAGACAAACCCTACATTTCCTTATGTGAAGTATTTAACTATATTTCTAGTCTTGGCTTATAGTGAGCCAGAGTTTCAGTTGTAATGCATAGAAAAAGACAAAACCAGTTGTTTTTAAGAGTTTGTTTCCATTTTAAAATAGAACTGCCCAAATATATAAAGGATGTGTTCTCCAAATAGGAAGAAATGTTTTGTTGCTAAGCTTTTAGAAACCATCTATTTTGGTTGTCCTGATGCTATCATGTCAACCTCCCTTTCACTTAACATTGTAAATGTTACAGTAAACTTAAAAGCAAATTTTATTTTTGTATAA